CACGGGGGGGGGACCTCTACCAGTGGAAAGCTTCCCGAGGCCTGGGTGGTGAGAAGGGGGTGCCGCTATCTGAAGATCTGGGGAGAGGAGGGCCCCAAGCAGAGGCGGCGGCAGGTGCAAAGGCCCTGAGGCAGGCAGAGTCTGGTAGTCCGGGAAAGAGAAGGCCTGTGTGGCTGGCCTGGTGTGAGTGAGGGGGGGGAGAGTGGCAGAGACAAGGCCAGAGCATTGGATGGGGTTGGGTGTCGGGGACCGCGGGGGCCACACTAGGGGCTTGATTTTATCTTGTCCGCAAAGAAGGCTTGTTGGGGAGAGAGTTTCCACTTTTCAGACTTTGTCCGGGTACCTTGTAGAGAATGGGTTAAACGGGACAATAACGGATCGAAGCAGCTGAGACTTACGTAGCGTCTCCTGTGCTTTGGGCCGCTGTCGGGTGGGTTGACGGGCACCGACCCACTCAGCCTTCACACAGCCCTACGAAGCGGGTCTTGTCATCGCTCCCATTTTATAGATGGGAAAACCGAGGCCCCGGTAGTAAGTGACGGAGGCAGGGTTCGAGCCTGGACCCCGTGTCCCCAGAGTGCACATTCCTAACCACTGTGCCACACTGCGTCCCTCGGAAAAGCAGCCGCCTGCGGGGGGCGGCTGTGAAGGAGGTGGCACTCGGCCAGGCGAGGGGGGGGGGGTGTGTGTGTGTGTTGGGATCCGGGTGCTCTTCGGGGTGGCCCCGAGGAGCCCCGCGGAGGCTTGGGCACCCGTTCTCACGGTGGGCTCAGGGAAGGCAGCTGGGGGCCCTTGGCTCCCGGCGGGTGCTGCGTCCCTGTGCGGCCAGGACCCGCTGACCCCGACTTCCCCGCCCACAGGGAGTTCAGGCACAAGAGTAACATCACCTTCAATGACAATGACACCGTGTCATTCCTCGAGTACCGCAGTTTCCAGTTCCAGCCTGACAGGTCCCACGGCCTGGAGAGTGACTACATCGTCATGCCCAACATCCTGGTCTTGGTAAGGCTGCCCCGGGCCGCGCCCCCCCCCCCCCCCCCCCCCGCCGGCCCTCATCCCTGTCCCTCCGGGTCTCCGTCTCTCTTCTCACCTGCCCCCCGAGCAGGGCCGTCCTGCGTGGGGCCCGGCTCTCAGCCCATTGAGTTTCCCAGGTGCGTCCTTTCTTACTGGCTTGGGGGTCCTGGCCCAAGTCCTTGTGTGTCCTTTCTTCGTCTGCAAATCTAACATCTCCAAACGGAGGTGCTGGTGGGGGACTTCCTCGGGCGCCCCCAGGTCGTGTCACTGTCTGCAGCGTTTGCAGGCGGGGCCTCCGTCCTCTGCAGCTGGGCCACAGTCGTCGCTGGGCTTGCAGACTGTGTGCCCGTGGGCTGGGGTCCCCGAGCCCACCTCCAGGCTCGCCGACTCCCTGGGAGGGCTCGCAGGACCCCACTGTGATCTGTTATGGAGGAAGGGTGCGGCACAAAATCAGCAAAGGGAAAAAGGCGTGTGGGGTGGAGGCCAGGACTCCCCCACGTCCCCCGGCAACAGGCTGTGACAGCGCACGTGAATGAAGGCTTATCCCCCGGGAGACCTCTAGACACTCCGTCCCCAGGGCTTTAATCGGGGGCTGGTCACGGAGGCACCTTCTGCCTGGCACCCACCGAAATCCAGATCCCCGGAAGGAAAGCAGTGGTTGGCATAAATCATACTGTTGGTACAAGGAGTCCAGGCACAGAGAGCCCCCCACCCCCACCCCTTATCAGTCAGAGAGGGGTGGGAACCCCTGGAAACCCAAGTTCCCAGATGGCGGCCAAGGGCCAGTCTTGCCAGCAGGCCTTTCTAGAGACAGGGGGCTCACGCCTGTCGTGTTAATGCTCTGCTAACACGCTTAGTGTTGATGGGCCTTACACACATTACCTTGTCTACTTGTCGGTGATCCGGGGGCCGGCCCTCGGCTGGGCCCTGGATCCGAGGCGAACTCACCTGCTGAGTCCGTTGGACGGACGGGACAGGGGAACGAATGCATCCCGAAGCTTCACAGCTGCCTCCCCCAGAGTTCGATCCTTAAGCTTGGCAGCGAAGACGCTTTGCCCCACCGATCAGGCGGGCACAGCCCTCCCGAGAACTCCCAGGGTTCGTGAGCATTCGTGGAAACGGACACGCTCACGTCCTGCCGGGAGGAACTGGGAGGGGCCGTCGGAGGGTAGTGACTTTAAATAGAAATTGCACCTTGCTTCCCACCTCAGAAACTCCACGGGTAGGAATGTGTCCTCCTGATAGCATAACACACACAGAAGATGTTTGTACCCGCGGGTATTCATTTTGGCAACCGCGTCAGAGCAGATTCCAGAAACAACCTAAATATTGTTCTATCGTGTGCAGTTTCGTTGCGGTGGTTTATTGCAGCCAGGCGGTGCTAGGACCTGGCCAGGCAGTAGGGGGCGGGGATGCGCGTGGTGGACGGGGACGGCCCCGCCCCCCCCCCCCCCCCCCCCCCCCCCCCGGCCCCGTAGGTGGTGGCTCAGAGCAGTCCCTAAGGTACATCCAAGGGGGAGAAAGGCGGGTACAGAACACAAGCAGAAGGCTATCACCATTTATAAAGCAGCGGTCCTTGCGTGCACGCCCCACGTACACACGTGTGCTTTTACGTGTTTTGAACGGGGGAGCAAACTTCTGTAAGGGGCCAGATAGTAAATATTTTAGGCTCCAAGGGCCACGTAGTCTCTGTTGCAACCGTCCAGCTCTGCCTGCCAATCCACAAACAGCCAAACACAACACAAATGGGTAGACGTGGCTATGTGCCAATGAAACTTTGTTTCATATGGACACTGAATGTGCGTTTCCTATCATGTTCATTGTTTTGAATGCCCTTTTCTTCAACCGTTTGAAAGCATAAAATTGTGGGGCGCCCGGGTGGCTCGGCCGGTCGAGTCTCCCGACTCCAGCTCGGGCCGTGGTCTCGCGGTTTGTGAGTTCGAGCCCCGTGCCGGGCTCCCTGCGGTCAGCACAGAGCCTGCTTTGGAGTCTCTGTCTCCCTCTCCCTCTCTGTCTCTCTCTCTTTACCCCTGCCCTGCAGTCTTTCTCTCAAAATTGAGTAAACGTGAAAAATATACAAAAATGTTCTTGGCTCTCAGACCGTACGGGAACGGGTAGTGCGCTGGCCTGGGCCCGGCGTGACGTCCAGGGTGGATGGACCTGTGGCATCTAGCCTGTCGTGTCCCCGGGCTCTGCAGGGCGCGGCGATGATGATGGAGAACAAGCCCATGAGCCTGAAGCTGATCATGACCTTGGCGTTCAGCACCCTCGGAGAGCGTGCCTTCATGAACCGCACCGTGGGCGAGATCATGTGGGGCTACGAGGACCCTCTGGTGCACCTCGTCAACAAGTACCTGCCAAACATGTTTCCCTTCAAGGGCAAGTTTGGGCTCTTTGCGGAGGTAAGTGCGGCTCGGCGAGCAGTTCGGGGGCCTGGGTCGTGTCCTCGTTGCCACGGCCCGGAAAATGGGTCAGCGGCCTGCTTTTCGGGCTGGCCGGGGACCTGGGGGCATTGGGTTGTCAAGGGCAGAAAACCTAACTCAAAGTGGCTTAGGACAATTAGAGAGTTTGCTGGCTCATCAGACTGGAAACTCCAGGCCTGTGCTCGGGTGCGGCTGGACGCTTGCGGCTGCCGGTGGACGAACGGAGACCGGCGGCCGGGCAGGCGGGTCACGAGTGTTGACCCCGACGTTGCCCCGGGCTGCCTGCTTTCCTCTTCATCTCGACCCCTGATAGTCCGGTAGGGATTGGGCTCCTGAGCCCTGGGCCGACGGACAGCCTGACCTTGGCTGCCTCAACCGCAGGTTTCAGCAAGCCCTCTGAGTGGCTCCAGCCTCGGCCTCCCCTTTGGGCGCTGCTGCTCTGTGTTGGGGGGCGCGGGGGAGGCAGGCTGGGATTCCGCCCCTGGCACGTGATAGACACTCACTACGTTTTGGCAGGTTCTGAGTGGGTGGGTAAGCTGGCAAGTTTGGGGTTAAGTGACATGATTCCTTTCAAAGCGTCTTACAGACTCGTAAACAAGTGAGAATTCTTGCAGAGCGAGTAGCAGCCGCGTAATCTATGTTTGCGTATAACGGAAACCCCGAAATAACATCCCAGCAGTGACTGTTCAGTGTTGGTGTGGTGTCTTCATATCCTTCAGGGATCCGGAGTGTTTTTCTACTACTCTGCTCTGCCATCCTTACGGTGTGGTTTTCGTACTCCAGATTACCACATGGTCCCGTGTGGCTGCCGGAGCGCCCGCGGCCGCACCCACCTTCCGGGAAGCAGAATGGGAAGGAAGGAGTGGTTGGGGATGGAGAGGCAGGCAAGGGAGTGGAGGACGAAACAACATGACCCAGCTGTCTCCTTCTTTGAGAGGGAGGAAACCAATTTCCACTTGCTTTCCCTTGGCCAGAACTTAGTCAAGTGGCCGCGCCTAACTGCAAGGGAAGTGGGGAAATGCAGCCGAGAAGGCTAAAGGCCGCAGCTGCTGTGCTGATGCCCTGAGTAAGGTTTGGGTTTTGTTACGAAGGAGGAAGGGGAGGCTTCTAGACTTCACCCCACGGTCACTCATTTCTTTGTGTGCTTTGCGTGTCTTTGCTGTGAATTAGAAACCTGTTTCTAGGAAATCTCCTCAGAGTGCCAGAGCCTGGGGCTTTCTGTCCAGAACCTGCTCGATAACAAACATTAGGTCCTGTATCCGTTAGGATAGACCAGGTTATGCTGTGTAATAAGCAGCCCCAGAACCTCAGAGGCTCGAAACAGTAAGTTCGCTCCTGGCTTGTATGCTGTGTCCAGTGTGGGTGACCAGGGGGCCGTCTGCTCTTTTTGGCCACTTCAGGGACCCAGGCTGAGGGAGGCAGCAGCTTGACACACGCTTCCACGACCCCTGCAGCAGCGGCAGAAAGCACGGTGACATGTGCATGTGCTAGCTCCTAAAACGTCCACCCGGAAGTGGCGTTTCCGTTGATTGGAGACGTCCCATGACCTTGCTTTATTTTAAGTCTGGGGGGAAGGGGGCATTCTGCTATTCCCCCCCGGGGAGGAAGAGCAGACTCTCCTTGAGTCAGGAAAGGAAGGTGGGACGCTTTCTAGGAGGGACGCTGGAATCGAGTGCCTCTTCTAGAAAGCCCTCTTCTGGAAATGCTCCCTCCTCTTGGTCCCCAGGCACCGGGATGCAGCGGTGAACAAGATATCGAGGCCCCTGTCCTCTGGGTGAAGCGGGGAACGGCCTCTAAATAAACGGGTGTGCTCGAGGGCCGGGCCCCCGGGGCCTCTGCCCCTGTCGCGAGGCTTAAAGACGCCGTTCTCTGTCGTTGTCCGCAGCTGAACAACTCCAATTCTGGGCTCTTCACCGTGTTCACGGGGGTCAAAGACTTCAGCAGGATCCATCTCGTGGACAAGTGGAACGGGCTTAGCAAGGTGAGGGCAAGGGGCGGTGCCCTCCTGCTCGGGGGCCGGGCGGGAGCCACAGAGGCCACCTGTGCTGGGCTCCTTGTTTCTCTTGGAACTCCGGAGGGTGTTCCCCTCTGGAGTGGAGACCGTTCTCGAAGTCGGGCATTTTGCCTGTGGTCGGGGTTCAACTAGCTCTTGGTTCTGAACGGGCGGGTGGGGAGTAGAAGCTCTACTTATGGAGCACCTAGTGTATACCAGGAAGTGAGTTCTTTCTTTCCTTTTGTCGAATTTACAAAACCACTTCAAAAAGACTACGCTGATCCTGTAACCACCCACTGCATTGAAAGATGTAATTGCACTAGGAACACAGGAAGGCGCTCACATTAAAAGGATAAGACAACAGGGGCGCCTGGGTGGCTCGGTCGGTGAAGCGTCCGACTTCGGCTCCGGTCAGGATCTCACGGTTTGTGAGTTCGAGCCCGGCGTCGGGCTCTGGGCTGACAGCTGGGAGCCGGCTATAAAAATTAAAACAAAGAAACGAAAAACCAGTAGAGACAGATTAAGGTGCCCCTTGCACCGCTCCACACGCCGGCCCCCTGCACTGGGGCACAGCGGGGAGTCCGCGGTGTGCAGTGTGGGGCCTTCCTGTCCTCCTCTGTCCCTCCCCCGCCCCCCCCCCCCCCCCCCTGTGCCGGGAGCGGCCAGATCACCCTTTGCAGGCGGTAACAACCCTTCCCAGCGGAGGCTCTCCGCCTTCTCTGGCTTGTGTTTTCGATGCACAGATACGCGCGTGCACACAGCACAGGGCCAGGAGGGGAGGGGTCTGTTTTGTTCTTTCCAGGCCTCACTTCCCAGAGGCAGCTGCTGGGTTGAGATCGCCCCCTGGGGGACGGGGGCACCATGATGATTTTAAATATTCTGCTTACCGTAGATGTTTTCCAGTAAATACGGCACGTTTCACTCACCCCCTCCCTTACCTGTGTTCTGGTGACGTCCTCTCTGAATCTCACCTCCCTCCTCTCGTGCTCACTGTGCCCCTTGGAGATGGGGGTGATTTTACAGATAAAGTCACCGAGTCCCCGGGGCAAAGGTGCCCGTTCGAGGGTCCGTGTTAGCGAGCGGGGAGCCACAACCGACGCTCTCTGGCTGTGCGGCCGCCCGCTCGCCTCCCCGAGGGGACCGGCTTCTGGAATGGAGTGGTGGGTGCCCTTCTCCCCGGGGCCCCGTGCGGTCGCCGCCCCAGGTCGGCTGTGGTCATCGCCGAGAGCCGTCGCGGAGCTCAATGGGCGCGCCCGAACGCTTCCCCGCAGGTCAAATACTGGCATTCCGACCAGTGCAACATGATCAATGGGACGTCTGGACAGATGTGGGCGCCGTTCATGACCCCCGAGACCTCACTGGAATTCTACAGCCCTGAGGCCTGCCGGTAATTGCTGGGACATCCTGGGTCCTCCTGGGCCTTCCCCGGGCAGCGGAAGTTGGCTTTGTGGACGCTCACGGCCTAACCGAGTGGCTTTTCGCGCGTGCTTGGGAAGCACGTTTGGCTCTCTGTGTGTTCGTGGGCCCTTGGCACGGTCCGGAACACTCTTTGGTTACACCGTGAAGGGCCACACCCCTCCTGCACCCAGAGAGGCTGCGGGCAGGGGTCGGCATGCTGCTAAGTGGCATTAGCCGGGTGCAGGAAGCCATCGGGTCCCGAGGGCTGGGAATGGGGTGAGCACCGGCTCCCTGCGGCATCCGTCCAGCTGCCCAATCGTCCATTTGGATGCTGAGATCTCTAGACGCGTGTCCGACAGCCTCTTTGGGCTCCAGAGTGTGGCCTTGGAGGCCCGGTGGATTCTGGGGGCCCCAGTGAGGGTGAGAATAGACAGAGCTCTCCTCTGAGAGACCCCTCTGCTGGAGCCGCCTTTGCTGTGCCTCTGTTCGCTTTCTAAAATGAGAAATTTCAACCCAGAGAAAAGCCGCAAGCAGGTGCCATTTCCCTCAGTTTGGGAGGTCATTTTTCTCCTGCCCCATCCGCTCTCTTATCACTGCTCAGCCCCCTGGACCGTCCGAGAGTAAGCTGGACGCCTCAATACCTCAGGGAGCGTTTTCTAAAAACAAGGACGTTTTCTTGCGCGAGCACATTACCGTCCTGAAAATGAGGAAATCTAGCATCCGCCTTAACACTGTTGTCTGGGCCGCTGCTGTCCCCTAAGAACGCGAGTCCTGTCTGCAATTTTAGATTTCTAGTGGCTGCGTTAAAAAAAGTAACAAGACGTACACGAAGTTAATTTTAACGATAGGTTTTATTTGACCCAACTGTATCCAAAACATTACCACATTGGCCTGTAAGCAACGTCAAATGTTGTTGAGGTGTGTCACTTTTTAAAATTTAAAAAAAAAAAAATTTTTTTTTTCAACATTTATTTATTTTTGGGACAGAGAGAGACAGAGCATGAACGGGGGAGGGGCAGAGGGAGAGGGAGACACAGAATCGGAAACAGGCTCCAGGCTCTGAGCCATCAGCCCAGAGCCCGACGCGGGGCTCGAACTCACGGACCGCGAGATCGTGACCTGGCTGAAGTCGGACGCTTAACCGACTGCGCCACCCAGGCGCCCTGAGATGTGTCACTTTTAAAAAAAAATTTTTTTTGTATCAAGCTGTAGAAATGTGGGATGTGTTTTAGCTTACGGCGGGCCACACCCAGACTCGCCCCATCCGAGGGGCGTGTGTGACAGGTGGCCTCCGTGGACAGCACGGTTGTAATCCAGAGTCCATATTCAAGTTCAGAAGTGCCTTTGAGAAACACAGCAGGGTGAACAGGGTGGGGGACACAGTGCCGCTGGCTGAGGCGGTGGCGGCTCAGTCACCACGTGTGTGCAGAACTGAAGCTGGATGTGTGATCAGCCCGGGGAGGCCGGACGGAGAAAAAGGACCAGGGGCAGGAGGGAGCACATCTGAGCCACAGCCAGGGGGCCCGTGGGATGCTGTAAAGGGGCTGGACCCCAAAGAGGCTTTTGGGCCGTGGTGAGGACAATGGATCTTATTCTAGATAAGACTGGAAGCAATTGATGGGGCGCCTGGGCGGCTCAGGTGGTTAAATGTTCGATTTCGGCTCAGGTCATGGTCTCGCGGTCCGTGAGTTCGAGCCCCACGGGGGGCTCTGTGCTGACAGCTCGGAGCCTGGAGCCTGCTTGGGATTCTGTGTCTCCCTCTCTCCCTGCCCTTCCCCTGCTCATGCTCTCTCTCTGTCTCTCAAAAATAAATAAATGTTAAAAAAAATTAGAGGGGTGCCTGGGTGGCTCAGTCGGTTGGGCGGCCGACTTCGGCTCAGGTCATGATCTTGCGGTCCGTGAGTTCGAGCCCCGTGTCGGGCTCTGTGCTGACAGCTCGGAGCCTGGAGCCTGTTTCAGATTCTGTGTGTCTCCCTCTCTCTGTCCCTCCCCCGTTCATGCTCTGTCTCTCTCTGTCTCAAAAATAAATAAACGTTAAAAAAAAAATTAGAAAAAAAGTACTGGAATACTGTATTTTTTAAATGTTTATTATTTATTTTTGAGAGAGCGTGTGAGAGGGGGAGGGGCAGAGAGAGGGGGAGACACAGAATCCGAAGCAGGCTCCAGGCTCCGAGCTGTCAGCACAGGGCCCGACGCGGGGCTCGAACCCACGCACGAACCGCGAGATCCTGACCTGAGCCGCAAGTCGGACGCTCAACCGACTGAGCCGCCCGGGCGCCCCGGGAAGCAACTGCGACTTCACGTGGGGACACGACATACTGTGTTCTTATTTTAAACTGCCGTCTGCTTGTGGAGACCAGATGGGTGTGGGCGGGGAGGCAGGGAGAGCGATTGGCAATCCCCCGGCTGAGAGACGGAGGCAGCTGCTGGGACCTGGGGGCGGTGGGGGGTGGGGGGGGGGTGGCAGTGCAGGTGGAGACAGTGCAGTGAGGAGGGGCTCAGCCGGGGCCGCCTTCAGCGGGACCGGTCTAGCCGCCATGTGCGGGACGTCATCCTGTACCCCGTCTGCCCCCCACAGGTCCATGAACCTGGTCTACAAGGAGTCAGGGGTGTTCCAAGGCATCCCCACCTATCGCTTCGTGGCCCCCAGCACCTTGTTTGCCAACGGCTCCACCTACCCGCCCAACGAGGGCTTCTGCCCCTGCCTGGAGTCTGGGATTCAGAACATCAGCACCTGCAGGTTCAGTACGTGCCTCTCGTCCCCCGGGAGGGTGGGCGGGAGGGTGTAGCCGGACGCGACCAGGCATCTCTCTGTCCCTACGCGCCCCCGCCGTCTGCCTAATCTCTGGCCTCTTTACTCTTGATAATTCCATTAATTGGCTGGAGATAAGGAAGGCAGCGGACCGATGATCTGAAAAAGCAATACGCCGCGTAGATTAGTGGCTGTCGCACGAATTCCCACAACCTTAGGGGCCGAGAGCCACAGCGACTTTATCGCCTCTGACGGTGCGACGCAGGCCTCCCCAGGCGAGGGCTCAGATGCCCGCGGGCTGACACCTTCCTGGCTGGACGCTCGAGGGCAGATCCACGGGCCGCTGTGCCCTTGGGAGGCCCCCGGAATCCCTTGGTTCCTGGCCCCTGCCTCCGGCCTCACCGCCAGCGACACCACGTCTCTCTGGCCCCACGTCCACGATCATCTCTGATCCCCCCACATCTCTCCTGCTTCCCTCTTCCAGTTTGAAGACCCCGGAGACCATCCCGGGCCCCCCGGGGGTAATCCGGGCCACACGCCCGGAGTTAAAGGCTAGCCGATTAGCAGCCTTAATTCCACCTGCGTCCTTCGGTCCCCTTGGCCGTGGGGAGGCTAGCGTTTGCGCGGGCTCCACGGACGTCTTTGGGGAGGGCCTCGTTGTGCCTGCCACACCAGGAGACGTGCCTTGAGGACGCGGCCTCGTGGGAAGGGCCCTTTGTCCCATGTTGGGAGGAGAGGAAGCCTCTGCTTGTGGATGGAGCAGTGAAGGGGGTCCGCCCTCCCTCCCGGGACCCCGCCTCCTCGCGGTCCGGGCCCCTCCCTTTGGCCCCCGCCACGTCGCACTGCCGTCACCCCACGCGCCATGTGTTCCCCAGTCTGCCCGGTGCGGTCACTCGCCACTGGCCCCACGGGGCTACGTAAATCGAAACGGGTTTGAATGCAACCAGGTTGAAAAGGTGGTGCCTCAGTCGCACTGGCCGCCTTTCAGATGTTTACCACCCACGTGTGCCTGGTGACCTCCGTACGGGTCGGCCAGCACAGAAGGACCACATGTTCATCGTTGTAGAAAGGTGTGTTGCACACTGTTCTAGACAGCAGCCCGAGGGACCTTTCCAAAACACGGATTGCCAGCCAGCCCTTTGCTTCAGACGTCTAACAGCTCCCCTGGACGTTTCTTCCTGTGCTTCCCCCACCAGCTAGTCTTCAGCCCCATCGTCTTCTCCCCGTTTCTAGAGTCTGTCAAGCTTCGTCCTACCTCAGGCCCTTTGCATCAGCTGTCCCCCTGCCTGCGGAGTCCTTTCCCTAGATATCCATGTGGATCTATGTGGATCATTCCCTCCTTTCCTTTTGGTCTGTTCAGATGCCACCTCCTCCAGGTGGCCTGCCCTGATTTCCATGCTGAAGTTGCCCCCGCCAGCCGCTCTCTGTCACTTCACCCTTGATCGCGTTCTTGGTTCTTGGTGCTCGGCACTCCCTGAAATCCCTGACTGTGTGTTTTGTTTTATTTATGGTCGGTGTCCTTCACTAGACTGTAAGTGTTCTCGGCAGGGCTCTGTCCTCAGCTTCTAGAACTGTGGCTGGTATGGAGCATTTGAGGGTATGGGTATGTGGGTGTATCCTGCACTTAGGACACTGGGGCTCAGGGCTGGGACATGCCCGAGGTCACACGGTTGGTGGGACAAGAAACCACTCCTCACATGACTGGGTCTTGCCTCCTGGGGGCCTGTGGGGGGCCGAAGCCGCATTTCCAGCTGGAGATGGGGATCCGAGAGGGGTGGTTTGCAGCAGGGTTTGTGGGGGACAAGGACTGTCTGCGGGTTGGACGACGTCCCCAAGCTCAGGCAGAATGGGGTGCTCGGTAGGTGACGGGTTTAGAGCTGGGGGCTGGAAATGCCCTCTGTCGTGGCCTTGTGTGAGCCCCCCTGGCCTTGCCCTCTGTTGAATTCTTCCTTCAGTGGGGTCTGTGGGCATGGCTCCAGAGATCAGCTGTCGTCGGAAGCTGCCTTCCGCCCCGTGTGCCAGCTCGGTTTTCTTCCGGGCTGGCTTTGCTGCCAGGCGGGCTCTCCCCTCGGGCCCCAGGCTCCCCTGCTCCCCTCTGGGGGTCCTGCACAAAGGGGGCACCATAAGACCTCCTCATCCTGCAAAAGCTCCCAGGGTTCACCCTGATTGGTCCACCTTGGATCCACGGCCAATCACCGTGGCCAAGGGTTATGCCGATTGGCCAGGCTGTGTCACATGCTCAGCCCCTGATTCCGTGGGTGGGGCCAGCACTCGCCTAGCCTGTGAGGGGCGGGCTGGTTCCAGGGTTGGGGTCTAGGTTGCAGAAAAAAGAGTGGGTGCCCGGCAGGCACAGACCGTATGTCCATCCGCTCGGGAAGGCTAGGGACGAGGTTGGCACTGTCTCATCTTAGCACATCTGCCCAAACGACCTCAAAAGTGCAAGGGAATTTTAGGGGCATCCGGGTGGCTCAGTGGGTTGAGTGTCGCAGTCTTGATACGGGCTCAGGTCATGATCTCCCAGTTCGTGGGTCGGAGCCCCAGGTGGGGCTCTGTGCTGACAATGTGGAGCCTGCTTGGAATTCTCTCTCTTCCTCCGCCCCACCCCCCACCAAATAAATAAATAAACTTAAAAAAAAAA